GGGAGGAAAAAACCCGACTGATCAAGTGTTGAATTGACCAAGATTCTGGGCTTTTTAGCTGTTCACCGAGGTGAAAGGTAGAGTAAGGTATGACAACTCAGAGTAGAGATCGGCATGTGCCGAGCCATTACCTTGTGTAATTAACTTATAATACCTGCGTCTGCTTTATTTGTGTCCCATGGCAAATACAAGGTCAGTGCAAGTAGTTAAGGGTATAAACTTCACTTCAAAACAAAACACAAAACGTCTAATGTTTATAATAATGTATTCACTATTTATTGCTACATGTACTTTCCTATTTTCTGCTCAGAAAAGCAAAACATAAATCCAGCTTATCATCGATCAGAAAATGGAATCATCGATCAGAAAATGGAATCAAAGTAAGTATAAAGTGTCATTTAGACCAGTATTCGTTAAGATCATGGTAAAGAGTGAAACAAGTCAATTACAAAATGGAATGCATTGTGAAATTATACATTATATGCATCATCATTCTATTAAGTACAGAAAAAAGCCATTTAAAAAAAAATCAAATTCTTTTTTCTCTTTCTACTGAAACTTTCAACAAACATTACTTATTTGTAATGTTTGTAGGTTCCTTAAAATTTGTTTAATTTCATATTCATTTAAATCAAAATACATAAACGAAAATGGAACGAGTTTCCAAATTTGATCAGATTATTATTTTATCTTCAAATTTGACTCATCAAAACCATATACAGGTCAATTATGTCCATTATATAAATATATAAAAGTGTTGTAAAGGACTTGTTTCGCGTTCTTTAATTGAGATTTTAATTCAAGATGACAGACAGTTCAAAGAAACTTTCAGTGAATAATTTTTGTAGGTGAATCAAAATTTAATTGATTCATCTTGTACGGGAAAAGTGTGAAGTAATAATGGATGCAATAATATAACTAGCTCGAACAAAACAGTTCAATTATAGCGAATATACAAACAGGTATGATGTGTACTAAAGGAATCAGCTGTCTGTGATAATGGTTCAAACCTCGACTAATTTAACACTTCGTGTACAATCGAGCTTCGTAACCCCAGCCACCTTGCATTTTGGTTTACATTGAAAGTAAATGGCTCACTGGAAAATTTCGAGTCAAAGAAATAATAGGGACATCAGATAAGAGTTGGCTGTGCTTAAGAGACTAGACTGTTTGTATGATTGATATGATTAATTCATAAAAGTGAATTTCAAATACATTTATGTCAATAATATTTCACTGATCATGTACAACCTTTTTAATTGTATCACCTTCACAGAAAGCCGTCTGAATAATTTTCACTTTGGTAAAAACATACTCAATAATTAAAAGCATGTAAAATGTTTTCGGTCAAATCTTGTTTATCGAAGAGTTCGGTTCATGAAGGAAACGTAGAGATTAAATAGTTTCTGTTCATGGGATGGTCATTAAATCTTGTTTATAAAAAAAAATATGAACAGTTTTGCCTCGGGCAAAACAAATCTAAAAGATATATTCTTGGATCGGAGATATCTTATAGAGATAATAAACTAAGGTATGCGGTCTTCTGTTCCAAAAAACAACTCTTTTACATTGAAAATTTATGCACTGTAAATTATATACTAAAGTAATAATACATGAATCAATTTTGGAACCCAGATTAATTACCGAGATTTTACTGAATACACCTTATCTACTACTCACATGTATAAACCCGATAGCCACCGACCATTAGTATGACTATTTAACACCAAACACTGTTATCACACAGACCCATATTAACCTGCCGAAGGTAAACACAATTACATAGACAGACATGCTGAAAAACACTGTATATTTTGATTGAGATTCATTTGGTGTCTGCAAAGATAATTTCTTCTTTTCAATAATACCACTGATTCAAAAGTAGTCTATATATACCGCCAATATAAAATACCTATCATACTTTATTATAATTCAGGGCAAAGGATAGTGACAATGTGGAAATTGACACAAAAAGACGACCACAGGAAACGCAGACATTAAAACGAAAGGAAAGACATCTGAAGCCCCAACAACCAATGGAGGCGAAACGCGATACTCTAGACTGGAAGGGTAAGTGGTACACCCAAAAACACGTCATTCACATCAATATCATTGATATATATCACAGATACATGTAAGTTAATTCTCTCTTTACATTTTGTAAGGATAAAGCAGGTGGCAGACTACAACTTTTTCTTTTCTCTTTAACAGATAGCCATACAAAACACTTCATTTTTCTTTGATCAATTTCATGTTGATTTATTTATCGGAATACATAGCAATGTGTTCCATCAGGCTTTCAACATTTGTTGTTGTTTTTTTGTTTTGTTTTTACATATTTTCAATATAGAATATGAAAAATCAGAACATTTAAGAATATGTTGTGTCTTGTGAAATCGAGTCTGTTTAGTAAACAACCTTTAAATTTCCTCGTATGATTTTTTCAATCTCTCATAGAAATTTTGAGAAATTATAGATTTGAAGTTTCTGCTAATGAGATTGGATATATTGAAATCATAAATAATGTTACTTAATTATCTACATTCACCTAACGATGCATTTAATGATGTGTGTTCACTGATGTTCAATTTGGTTATTAGCATACAATTTGTGACGACAGCAGACGTCCAACCAGTCGCAATTTACAAACCATGTCAATTCAACAAAAATACATAGATAAGGTAAAAACTCAATACAATCATAACTACAAGTTTGACTGGGTACGAGGGAAAATAAAAATACAATACAAAATATAGCGCATCTAATTAGACATATGTGGACGGATTCTATTTTAACGAACCTTAGTGTGACCGCGAGCATGTCTACGTCACAACATGGCTGTTTCGATTCCCTGCACAAGTAAACATTGAAGAATATTATTTTATTCTTTAAAAATGTTTTTGCAGATTAATAATGGCACCATGACATTATCATAAAGCACAAGAAATATGTGTGGACATGTGAAATACACTGTTTATACAGTACATAATGTAAATCAATAACGTGTAATATAAAACCTTATTATTACTTTACATTTACATTACATAATCAACAAGCACAATAATGAATGAGCGTTTCGTCACTTTCATATATTTGAAATACAATTACATGAAAATTACCCTAGGTTTGTAAAGCGCTCGTATAAGATTACCGCTGAACCAGATGTACTAGTATGTACATTTTATATATTACGTTTGAAACAATACACACTCAACAAACATTCATCCGACCAATTCTCCAAATCACACAACTTTGAAAATTTACTCTGGAATAACTTTAACAAGACTCACACAATCATATACAAATTAAATAATAAAAATCTTTCACAGTTTCAGATTTGTGTTAAAAACTTATATATAAAATATGTATATATATATATAAGGTGCAAACTTAAACCACATGATGTATGATGCGGTGTAATTCTATACTCTATAGTATTTTAATTAGCTTCTAATATAGGCGCCATTCAAAGCTTTCATCATATTTATTAACTTGTGATGTTTTAATTACAAATTTAACATTTATCAGAGATGAGATTTTGTGTTAAACTTTCTCATTTCTCTCAATCATTTTTTTTAAAGATATTTTAAGTTCAACCTCAAATATTATAAGCAAAGTCACACAATTCTCCATCTTGCATTACAAAGCATATTCTAATGACACGTTTTTATGGTTGAGCTACAACACTCAAGTGTTCCACAGACTTTATAACTATCACAGCTAATAATGTCTAAAGCTTCAACTTTATCTCTGTAAATAGTGTAATGGAATGCATTTTATCACATGCTGTAAAAGCTCGTATAACATAGTTTAAAATCTAAACAATTCTGCTACATTGTTCGTGTTAATTCTATACCATGTCTTTCTCGGGGTGGTGATATAAACACATTACCCAGGAATGCGTTTAAATTGGATTAAATTAACATTAATGGCACTATGGAACCAAAGTCATAAGAAGTGAACTACTTGCATAGATTTTACTTTTATTTGACCATAAAAAAGATACCTCAGTACAATCGTACCCTTTGATTTGTTGCATGGGGAAAAGACGTTGTAATAAATACATGTCCATATTTTTTTCTAAAGAGTCTCAAATTTGAATAACAGTAAAACACATTTCATAGTACTTAAACTTAAAAAAGAAATAGTGTGCCAAATAAAAATCAATTATTGCTTCTTTTTAAACGAGTATGCCTAGAACATTACATGCAATATATATACACACATTTTTCTCGTCTATGACATGTACATCCGGAAAACAAGGTATTCTTGTCTTCGTTAAAATATTTTGTATTTATCTTAAAATCTTCATATTCAAGAAAAAGCAACCGTGCAACGTTTTAATGTTTAAGAGGACTTCACTTAAACTCATCATTATTTCTTCTCTTTGCTTTGTGACACCGACTGGTTTCTAAATAAAGTCAACAATGTACAAAGGGTTGCATACATCCTTTCAATAAGCCTTACACCGATATGGTTAATAAACTTTTTTTTATACCAAAAGCTGAATATCACAGATATATGTAGTTGTTAATTAGAGACTAAATGCTCCAGTCATGTCAATCACCTCCGTCTTTCATGTAAATTTGTATATTTACAGTATCTATTTTAAAACTTGACAATAGCAAACAGATCAAGTTTTTTTGTTATCCCGTCAGAAATCTCTTGTTCAATAACGGAAAATAAGAAAAAAATAGCCATGATAGGCACTTTTTTTTCTATTAAATTGGTTGACCAGAGATTAAAATAGTGGAGTTTATAGATTTGTAAGGGACAGTGCACGTGCACCTATTACATTGAATATATAGCTAGAAACGTTGGCATTACAAGTGCTCCTTATATATACATGTATGCAGGACCTCACTAGCAAAACGCCGATACAAATAGGCTTCAAGATAAAATCACTGCTAGTAAATAAAATTTATAATAAATATAGAGTGTGCTATTTTGTTTTGATTAATCCAAAAGACTAGAAATTTCTTGGACTTCCAGTCGGACCTTTTGCCCTTGGATGGGATCACAGTTTTCAGCCAAAGCCATCATCGAATAGTTGAGATCCTACCATCCTGTAAAACAGAAAAACTATTTTAGTATCACCTATTAAATATGAAGTCAATCAGACATAAAAAAAATTACCTGTATAACCATTAATACAGAACCACTTTAATAGCAGAACACCCATGTTTCATCACTTCCAAACAGTGTAATAACAACATATGGTATAAAAGTTTGAAGTAATTTCATTCGACAAAAAGTTAAATCACAGTACTTTTCGACGTCATGTTTTAATGGAAGTATTGTGATTTCATGATTTGCAGATTTCTTCCCATTAGACATTGAAATAATTTGTAGTATGACTTTCCTAACAAAATAGGAATGTTTCCGGTTGAAACCGATTCCCCAATCGTCTTGTTTATCTAACTTGGTTAGTTGACTTTAACTTGGTTAACTTTAGTCTTCATTCAATTCGGATGAATTTACTCCAGTTACTGAAACAGGATACCCAATGAATATTCATCTTGGGAACTTATAGTATAAAACAATTCACCCCAAGACAAAAACATAGAGCAAGCATTTCAGCTGGTTAAATTATAAAGTCTAATGCTTTAAAACTGTGTGTTGTGTCAGAAATAATGATAGATGTTTATCGAGTGATACAGTTTATTTTGTATTTTCCTTTTTCCTGGAACGCTAGTGCTCAAAATAAAGAAAGAACTGATCACAGATTAAACCTGCAACTTCCACTTTTCAGTGAATTACTTTTAAGATGTAAATAAGTATTGTTCTCAGAAATCTGCACAGACTAACGGGGTCCTGCTGCAAAGATGAATATAATCATGTACCACAATTTTCAAGTTCAGCAAAATTCAGAATTGCATGTAATTCACAAATCTTTAAAAGTAGAAATGGATGTAACTTAGTAAGCAAACGACAGAAAATTGCATTTAATAGTGCCTGGACAATATAAAGGTGTACCTGTAAACTAAACATCGAATCAGTGTTATGAACACACACAGCAGGGAAAAAACAAATTCAGAAAGTCATGTGTTGAGTAACAAACATTTAAATCCTTGTGAGATCAGAAAACAATTTTATGCAATAATCTTAAAACACCTGTAAAAACAAACAAAAAACATGATTAAGTTTGGGCGTGGAATGCAAATAAATACAATGTACTATATCTACTGAAAATATCTAAATAGCAGAAATTGCAAAGATGATATTCTGAAGAAAGGTGCTATACTGGTACATTGTATACAAAGAGTTGGCATGTTAGGCTCAAAGTTTTAACAGATTTTTAGGGAAAGATGCAAAGTAGCTGAAAATAAAGTCAAAGATTGATATTGGAAAGTTCAATCCACTGAAAAAATATTTCTCATTTATAAACGATTTGTTATAAACTGACAGGACAGAAAGGCATATGAAGGCAGAGTGCACAGCTAATGGGACAATCCATAGCTACCTAATTAAGTATCATCGCACTGAGAACAAGGGCATTAACTCTTTTAATATCAACAAAAACAAACAAGGTGGTCACATGCAAAGGTTAATGAGATCAGTAAAATACATTGCATCGGGGGTAGTATTGAAAAAAACTATCAGAAAAGCAGAAAGGCGAATAACCAGATTCCAATATACTTCCTTACTTGTTTGTGAGGACAAAAGGTGTTTAGCCGAATTCTAATTTGCATATATATGTGAAAATAATTTTATTTGAAAAATTCAACAATTTTGATAGTGTTCAGTGGACAAATCCCTAGTTAATTAATAGATGATTGCGGGAAATAGAGTCTAGAAGTAGAAACTACTGCTACATGTGGACTGACTTGGTTCACCAGACAGACACCGTGTTAAATTACCTAGCCACTCCTGATGAGGTTGTTTTCGGTAAATGATGGTATGATGGTCTGAAAATGACAATTCACTTTGTAAAATATCTTAACCTTAGGTCATTCATCAATTCAAAATAATAAAGAAATAATTTTCTTTCTGTGTACATATCAGAGTCAGGACAGTTTGAAATAACTAACTTGAAGCATAATTGAAAAAAGTCAACCATTACTTTTTTTCTTGTTTAAAAACTAAAGCCAACTTTTTTCAGACAAATTTCTTAAATTTGTACAATAAATCTTAAGCGATTTGCCCTTAACTATGGATCAAGTGTACATTTGTTTTAGGGTTGGAAATCCTCTCTTGCAAAAAAATTAATTTCACCGACCACACATCAAGGTCAATCTACCTAAATCCAGCTGACTGACCATAACCACACGATTCACATGCTAAGACACACAGACACAAATGTTTGTACATGTATAACCAAAACAAAAACCATCAAGTTAAACCCCAAAGGAAAACGTCCTCATCAACACACAGTCCAATCTGTAGGACATACATGTAACAGTTACCTTGCCCTTTATTTAACTCAGTCATCTGTATCTGTCAGAAATAAATACCAGATTTATTGGTCTAGGTCATGTGCAGATTAAAAATTCAATTGTTTCTTTTCTAAAAGACTTTTTTTTAAGTAATTACTTTGTGGTAAAAAAATATTATTTTTAAAGATTACAGCCTTTTGTTTTTGTCAAACAGAAATTCTGTTATCAGGTGAAGATGACAGTACAAAATTGACATATAAGTAAAAGGTAGGATTTGTAAAAGAAATCTGGAAAAGGTATTAGGAATTTTTTAGCCATGTATCAATAAAAAATGCCCTTTTTTTTTTAATTCACAGAAAAAAATGCCTTCAGGTTAAAAGACCTACATTGTATACAAGAAACACTTAGACAAAAAAAACATCCAGAAAGATGTTTATAATATAACAATTGTGTTAAAAATATAGTTTTGCTTGTCTTTTTTAAACTAAAATGAAAAAGGTCAAAGGTCAATGCTAGGCAGCAGTGATTTTGAGGCATTTTAGTGTCAAACTACTTTCTAAGTGATTTTATATTTTTTTTTTTATTAAATATAGTGGCATCTGTGATCTACCTACGGAGTATTATTCTAATACACATGATCACATACAGTGATGGTTAGGGAAATCTACGGTCACACAGCTTGTCTATAGTACACACTCCATTTCACTAAATTACCAAAAATACAGCATGCATGAAGTCTACATTACATTTATTGAAGATCATTTATTGAATTTTCACAATCTCACTGAAATTTTGAATTTTGAAAGCTGTTAAATTAAGAGCTGTAAGTGAAATAAAAAATAAATTATGATGGAAAAATAATTTCTGCTATTATCTTTTTTGTGACTTTTGGGGTGAATGGGTTAATGAGCATAATTAATTGTTTCTAAAATTAATGTAATTTTATATCATTGATAAGTTAAAGTGTTGTGTGTGGAATTCACATACAGGGCTAAGATCTTTTTTAATCATTCATTCACTAAAATTAAAACTTTGTAGAGGATTAATCGAAGATTGTGTGACACTATATGAGAGTGGGGATTGTCGTATACCTGACGAAGGGCGCATCTGTCCAGTGTGCATATCATACTTGAGACTGTTGTGAAAGTTGAAGCTAAGTGAATCTTCAGGCACAGCACTCCTGTCATACACAAACAACACAGTGGGAAATATATATTAAAAAAAATGTCCGATTTTAAAAGGAGGCAAATATCAAAATGTCTATATTTCATCATTTTCTGACCGCTTTTATCACAGCCTGGAAATGAAGGACTACCACTTAATTTGCACACTGTAAAACAGAATGATCAGCAGGCATGTAGCGTGCTAGCTTGTACGCAAGCTTATACAGCAAACACTCAATTAAGAAATCATGTAAGAGTATGAACAATCAACAAAATATACACCATGATATAAATTTAGACATATTTTAACTTTTTATATACTTAATTTATTTCTTAATAAAAATTCAATGCATAAAAAAACTATAATAAATAATGAAATACATATATTCTAGTTACACTGAAATTGAAATCCCACTAACTTGCAAATAATGATTGACTAAATGTGATTTCTTTGTAAAATTTGAAGTTTTTAAACTTTTGTTTTTTAATTCTAGCAGAAACACAAAACTGATTTTATGCTAGGGAGGCCAGTTCATTACCACTAACTCTTCAGCTCTTCTCTATACTGAAGAATAATTTCAACACAGAAAATAACAAAGCATTTCCAATAGGGGAATCACCAAAGGCCATAATATTGGCAAGTTATTTAAAACATGTTTTCATAGATTGTTATTTGTTTTATGTATTTTGTTTATGAATTTGATAACTCTTATCGAGTGTGAATTTATGAAATGTTATGTACTTAGGTTTTAAGATATAGAAGATGTCAACAAGGGTATCTGCGTTTTGTGTTATTAACAACCAGGTTTGGGATTTACCTAAACTGTTCTCCTGAAGTTAATACCCATCACAAGACTCCCCCCATCCTTGAAATTCAAGGGGTTAGACTCATTTACATTCTGAAAAAAACTGACCAATCACTAGGCTGATACCTAGCGTTTGAAAATTACAGTAACACCTGTCAATTCCACCGAAAATTAGTCTACTTGCATCATCCACAAGATAACATGTGCAGAGCCTTCAATTTCGTCGTGACATATTTCAGGGTAACAGAGAACGTATGAGAGCATAACTCCTGTAATTTTGAGGATGAAAACTCCCGATACCATTAATACAGTATGTTTGTGCCCTCCATAATGTTTTATTCTATCAGTTTTTAAACTTAGTGCTTGAAGAGGAACTTTTGGAGTGAATTAATGTTGTAACTATTTAACCCTTTCACCCCTAGGTAACTTGAGTAGTCTCTACCATACATTCATCTGGATGAGTCCATTATGGTCTACAGTGGTGAAAGTGTTACCATCAATCTGAACTGTCTGGAATGGACACTTATTAATATTAAAAAGGAAGTGTAAAGTTGTGTTCAAACCTGCCTGATAGAGAAGTACACCAGATGTGACTTTGTGATCGGTATGCAGAAGACAGCTGGATGTGCAGACAAAATTGTGTAGACAGATAATCTGGTTCCAGTATGCCCACACTGATCACTTCACCGAGGGGTAGAATGGGGTGGGGTTTACAAAAAGCCAACATTAATGGGTTTATTCAGGTACAAAGATGAAGGCAATCTCACCCCAAAAACAACATCAATGTGGAAGTCTTACAACACTTATAAGGAAGGGATAGACACCTATATAACGACACACTAAGACAGGGGTAGAAACACCAAGGCAATGGTAATTATTGCAGTATACAGCCTCAATATAACCTTCAATCATTTTTTTTTTATAAAATACACAATATCTGTATTTATTGATTATATCTTGCATAAACTATCATTTGAAGATGATATATAAAATTATATATCAAGAAAAGTTGATCATATGTAATGATCAACTATACCTCATTCACCATGACAAGCTTTTTAAGATTCGGCAATTCAACTTTGATTGCTACCTAACGTTTTACTAGCTGTTGGAATAGCTTATACAACATACCAGAGTTACTCCTCCTCAGTGCCATTTAGGTGAATTACTGCAGAAACAAATTATTACTATTTTCGTTAAAAATATTGCAAATGAAAAATGAAACTGAACATCTATCTAAGGTAATAACAATTACCATCAGATCTACTTTTTTGGATGTGAAAGCCTAATATCTATTGCTGAGAGAAACCCAGTATATGTAAAACACCTGTATAAGGATATTGGTATCCTGAAGCTGAACAGAAGAAAGCTGACGTACCAACAATTTTTCAATATACATAGGGACGCAATTATTATATATACTCATGCTCTTGCCAATTTTATGCATCTGTGAAAAAAAATTCAACTAATTAATTTCTGATGTAGGAGTACCAATTCTATATACTGACCTTTGTACCCGGTGCATGCCTGCCTTGCGTGTGTTTGAGGGCTGTGGGGGTGGTTTGGGAGCGTACTTCTGTATGGCACTCTCCACCTCGACAGGTCCCATGTGTCGGTAGTGAGGTTTAGGCGGTGGCTTTTGTACAGCGCTCTCCATGTCCGTGGCCTTGGGCCCATGGCCCTGTAGTGACTTCTGCATGGCATAGGCCTGGGCTACCATGGCCTGGTGCTTGGCCTTGCTCTGCTCTAACATGGCTTTGCTCTGCTGTTTCAGAGCCTGGTGCTGCTGCACCAACTGGAACTGTTTACTGGACTGTGACGCAGCATTGTAGTTGCTAGGCAACACACCTGTCACCTGGTTGTAAGCCACGGCCAGATCCCCTTGGTGTGTGCCGTCAGTGTCCTCTATAAAACTATTGAAAGTTGCATTTGCATTTCGATTACGGCCCACAACCCCAGCTGACTGGATGCGTTGGGCCGGGCCAGGTGGTGGTCGTGACTTCAGGTAATGTTCCTCCATAGATATATACTTGGGCTGTTCCTTGCTCTTGTCCGAGCCACCATTTGGGAAAGAATGAGTGGATTTATAAGTACTACTGATATCGCCTGCAGTCATTGGTCTGTACGGTTTTGACACCATCCCTGTCGGGGGTCTTGACACTTGAGCGTCCGTTCCTATAGCACTTGTGCCATTGTGGGCAGAATACTGCCGTGACTGCTGACGAAGGGCCAGTTTCTGTAGGGCGTCTTGTATGGCTTGGTCATTGTAGGAGTCTGTAAATGTTACGTAGCAAATTATGTAAATACAATTAACCCATTGACCCCTACAGTTACATTTGAAACTTACCAAATCAAAGACTTGGCGAGTCCCGTTTAAATATGTAGGGGTGAATGAGTTATAAGGGGCGCATTGTATATGTTAAGAAGAAAAAAAAATATTTAACAAATATTGTATACTGCTGAATGAAGGTTTAGGACAGGCTGTGAGTTATCCAAATCACTTCTACAGACTGAAGCAGAGCACTGTAGTAATACAATGCTGAACACATAATGCATACCATAAAACTTTACAAAACTAAAACAATATGGCCTTATTTCATTTTCTTCCTTGTTACTTGTTGTTATTGACTATTGATGCAATATAAGCAAACATGTAAAAAAAAGAAAATTGGATAAACAACATATCTGAATGACAAGAGGCCCATGGGCCTTAACGGTCACCTGATATATTTATACAGA